TGCCCGCTGCCGGGCAGCCCCCCTTGGGCAGCGAGTAGGTGGTGGGTTCCCCCACCCCCACCTACCCCCCACTGACTCTTTTCTCATATATTCGTCCCGGGGACCTTTGTGGAACCCGAAACCATGCTTAGACACTTTTAAACGCAAATAACGACACCACGTAAGCAATTAACGGATCAAAAGCAAGAATCATGTTGGAGTTATCCTATTACGACTTCTAAATGTAAACAACACCCGAACATGTGAATTCCCACCCAAATACAAATCAATAACATCACAATACAAATTCCCAATCCAACCTAGGGCTCTAATCCCACCCAAATCATCAAGAACATATTTAATCTTTAACATCAAGAAAATATCAAGATTCGTCTAGAATCATCACATCATAATCAAAAACTTCTTCTTAACATTAAGATCATCAAGATTATCAAGAAAGCATATAAATCATCTTATCAATCATCAAGAACATAACATAATTATTATAGAAGAATTCAATCAAGACACAAGAATATAGAGGGAGGCCAAGGAAGGAGATTATAGCGAAGAAAATAGGTTTTGTTGAGACATGGGTTACCTCTTAGCCTTAATTAATTTCCTTGGCTATGAAGGGTCTTTCTTTAAGATTTCTCCTTTCTTGATTTCTCCTAAGGGAATCTTGGAACTTCTTGTGTGGTGAGAGATTATTTGTGGTGTGAATTCTAGGTGCCTCCTATGCCTCTATTTATATAATTAAGAGTCCTAATTAGGGTCTAGGTGGCATGGGTTTACTAATTCTATTTCTTATAGGACTAAGGGGTTGGCTTTAGGAATAAAGGCCCACAGACCATGGTGGACACCCTTTTGGCTAATTAGTATATTATAACTCCCTTTTTGGGCTGAGTACTTAATTTAATTAATTTGGGGTTTAGGGATCGTAACACAGGGTGTTACAGTATATTTATAGTATTGCACGAGATTGCATATGAGTATAATATTGCACGAGATTGCATATGAGTACATGTATAGTATTGCACGAGATTGCATATGAGTATATGTATAGTATTGCACATGATTGCATATGAGTATACTTATAGTATTGCACGAGATTGCATGAGTATGGTATTGCACGAGATTGCATTTGAGTAGAGTATCGCATGAGATTGCATGATGAGAATGTTGATTTAAGAATGTTTATCGAGCATGATTGTTTAGTTACATTTGAAGCCTTGTATATCCAGTTTATGTGATGAGAATTTTAGAGTATGAGAATACCTGTTGTATGGTTTATTAACATGATACTACTTGTAAGCATGAGTTGCTTGTTAAGTTTATTGTGAAGTTACATGTTGAAGTATCTAAGTTGATTAAGTCTTATATATCGAAGCATACCTGTTGATATTATAGGTTGTAAGCATCTAGAAAGTATGTGATATGACTAAAGCTGTCTACGAGATGAGTTTTTTGTTTACAAGTGAAATCAAATGTTTTCAAAGTATACTCTATAGTACTTTATAGGGTTGAGTGTGGTTATACTTAGCTTCGTGTTAACGGGTGTTTTCCTATTTGTCTATGTATTGCTTGTAAAACCCCTTTCAGGTGGGCCTAGTAGTGAGAAGTGATCGAGTTAGATTAGTTTCGTAGTTTGAGATGCTTAAACTTTTATGATTTGTTGATGACCTTATTATTCATGTTTTAGACTTATGATGATTTGTAGACGTTGATGATGTAGACTTTTGGGGTGACTTTTTCCCTTTATGATTTTCAGTATTTAATATGAATGTTAGATATTTATTTTATTTCTAGTTCTACCCCCTAGCCTGTGCAATCACCACGGAGTGGTGGTTGTGGCAGTGACATTCCCACTAGTTATCTTTTTAGCTATTATTTCCGTTGCTTAGTTTATAATAATTGTGGTTTAGATTTGTGATTAAGAGTTAGAAAAGTGGGGTGTTACAGAGCCCGAGGCGCCCCTGCTGCGAAACCCTTTCACGGCTGACATTATGAGCCCGCCGTATCCTCATGACCTGCGAGTTCCGGGGAACAAGGGTTATGACGGGAAGACCGACCCTGAAGCCCACATCAATTCATACTATGGTAACATGCTAATGATGGGCATAACCGACGCAGTGATGTGTCATGCTTTCTATTCCACACTGACCGGAAGAGCAGCAGATTAGTTCAGGACGTTGGAACCTGAATCGATTGCGTGTTTCGCCGAATTGGCAAAGAAATTTGTGCACAATTTTTCAACATCTAAAGAGGTGCGAAAGCATTTCACATACCTTGAGAAGGCCAAGCAGCTTGAAGGCGAATCCTTGACGGACTTCTTGGTCAAATGGAAAGGCGCGATTGGGGAGGTCGAACCGCTAGACGATTGCACGGCGATAAACGTACTCCATTCCAACTTACGAGCGGGAGCTCTGTACCAAGAGTTTATCTTGCACCCACTGACCACCTCTGATGAGGTCATTCGCCGTGTCACCGACTATGCCAACGCCGGTGAAGCGAACTTGGTCAAAAGGCAGCAGGAGGCTAGGGGTAGCAGGAAGCCACAGGCCTGACAAGAAGAAGGTCGGAAGAGCGACCGATCCGGTAGAGGTCGGGGTAGGTTGCCCGATTTCACACCATTGAACAGACCGGCGGTCGATGTCCTTCGATTCGTAGAGTTGTGTAATATGATCCAGCTTCCCAAACTTCAAAGGGAAGGTCGTGACAAGACAAATTACTGCGCCTATCATCGCAGTAAAGGGCACGAAACAGAAGATTGCACTACCCTATGACAGGTGATAGAGGATTTGCTGCAATCGGGCAAATTAACCGAGTTTACGGCCAAAAAGGAAGAGAAGAAATCTTCTTGAAAGAACCTTTTCAAGAAGTCGTACAAAAGCCTGAAGGATAAGGATCACGATCGAGATCATTACTCGCACCCCCCGTCGGGAAAGCAAGTAATTCATTTCATATTCGGAGGCCCCGACGATGGAATCGGGTCCAGGGAACCCCTCCCGATTGACCTCATAGGGTCAGAAACCGGGGAGAAAAGACAGAAGCTGGAACCAATGACATTTACCCCGAATGAGATGCCCGAAGGTGGGGACTACAATGCCGAGGCTTTGGTGGTCACGATCGATATCATGGGCACAGATGTGCAGAGAGTCATGATTGACATAGGAAGTAGTGTGAACGTCTTGTATATAGACATCTTTCAAAAACTCAAACTTGACCCGATCGAGCTCACTCCGATTGGAACCCCTCTCTCCGGCTTCACTGGTGACACCATTCACCCTGAAGGAAAGATAGACTACCGGTGGAGATTGGCAGTCACCCTCGGGTTGTAAGGACGCGATGGAATTTATTGTCGTTAACATGCAATGTGTCCATAACGCCATCCTGGGGCGACCGGACATTGTGTCAATCGAGGGAATCATCTCCAAGCCCCACCTATGTATGAAGTTCCCGACCCCGGAAGGAGTTGGTGTTGTTCGAGGCGATGTCCAGTCAACCAGGAAGTGTTACCGCAAGGCTGTAGATCGGAAAGAAGCGTGGAATTCCCAAGTGAATTACATCTCCAAGAGATCGGAAGCCGAAAGAAAGGAACAGCCCGAACCCTCCGATGAAGTAGAAGAGATACCGATCCGGGTCGATCGATCGGATAGGACGATCAGGGTCGGCCGAGGGCTCTCCCCAGAACTCAAAGATGCCATCATGGCAGTATTAGGAGAGTTCTCAGACGTCTTCGCATGGGGCCCGGAAGATATGCCAGGTGTAGACCGATCGGTTATATGCCATTGCTTAGCAGTCAGTCCGACAACACGACCGGTGAAGCAAAAAAAGAGACACCTCTCCAACGACCTCCGAGAGTTTGTAAAGAATGAAGTCAAGACCCTCGCTGGGATTGGTCACATCCGCCCAGTCGCCTACCCGGATTAGGTCGCGAACATGGTCTTGGTCCCCAAGCCGCCCACCTGGCGAATGTGTATTGATTACACAGACTTGAACCGTGCCTGTCCGTTAGACCCATACCCACTCCTGAGCATACACCAGATGGTAGACAACACCGCGGGAGCCGACCTCATGAGCTTCTTGGATGCCTTTAGGGGCTATCACCAGATAATGATGGTCGAAGAAGATGAAAGCAAAACATCGTTTGTTACCCCGGACGGCCTCTACTGTTATAGAGTCATGTCGTTCAGTCTCAGGAATGCCGGAGCAACGTACCAGAGGATGGTCAATACTTTATTCGAGGGGTAGCTGGGCCGAACAATGGAGGCATATGTTGACGACATGCTCGTCAAGAGTGCCGACCGGTATCACCACGCTCGGGATCTCCGAACATGCTTAGAAGTGATGCGTACATATCGACTGCGCCTAAACTCGGCAAAATGCACGAAGCAGGGGATAGAGCCCAATCCGGCTAAGGTGAAGGCCATTCTAGAAATGCAGACGCCAACCACGGTCCGGGAGGTCCAGCAACTAACCGGAAGGCTAGCCGCCCTCAGCCGGTTCTTATCCAAGCTGGCGGAAAAAGCACTGCCCTTCTTCAAGACCCTAAGGATGATCAACCGGTTCACGTGGGATGCAGAGTGTCAAACGGAATTTGTGGAACTTAAAGAATACTTGATATCCCCGATCGTCCTCTCCAAATCCGAGTCGGGCGAGGACCTAGACGTGTACCTTACCGTATCAGATCGGGCAGTCAGCGCTGTGTTATGCCGTACCGACTCTGAGGGAATACAACGACCCGTCTATTACGTCAGCCATGCTCTCCAGTGTCCCAAGCTCCGATATTCTCGGCTAGAAAAGGTGGTCCTAGCCCTATACGTAGCGGCAAAGAAACTCACCCCATACTTCCAGGGAAGGGTAATCAGAGTGTTAACCGACCAGCCGATAGGGGCCGTTCTCCGCACGACCACTTCCTCTGGATGATTAATAAAGTGGGAGATGATGCATATGCAATTCGTAATAGAGTACAGACCCCGACCGGCCATCAAGGGACGGGCGTTAGCGGATTTTGTTGTCGAATGCACCGCTCGGACACCCTCACAAAAGACCTGGCGGATGCCGATGCTTCATGGTGGGAGGTCGCCACTAAAGGCTCTAGCAACAAGAGAGGGTTGGGAGGAGGAGTCATGGTGACAAGCCCCGAAGGATTCAAGGTATATTATGCCTTGATATACCGGTTCTCCCCAACCAACAACGATGCGGAATACGAAGCTTTCATCGCAGGACTGCAACATGCAAAGGACCTTGGAGCGGAGTACATCAAAGCCCGAACGGACTCGTCCCTGGTCGTAGGACAAGTCCTCGAGGTATTCCAAGTTAATGGTGAACGTCTGAGCCGTTACCGGGACATGGCCCTCGAGAAGCTCAGCACCTTCAAGGCGTATGCGGTGAAACACGTTCCCCGGCTGGACAATGCGGACGCGGATATCCTCTCTAAGCTAAGTCTGGAAGCCCCGGAGCATATCTCGAAAGTTGTTCGGGTTCTTGTCATACCGACTCTGACTATCGACCACCACCGGGTGATGCTTGTCCAACCGCGCGAGGAAAATTGGATAACTGACATCATGAGGCATTTGGAGGATGGACGATTGCCGCAAGATGAAGCAAGAGCACGCAAGGCGAAACTCCGCGCTCCAAGATTCCAAGTGACGGACAGCCGCCTCTATCGACGATCATACGGAGGGCCATTGATGAGATGTGTAACACCCCGTGTTACGGCCCTTAATCCCGAATTAATTATTTAATTAATTCCATTAATAATAATTAAAAAGGAATTAATTTGATTAGAAATCCCTTTAATTAATTAAACGTGGTCCACCACGGATCATGGACCCTTGCCTAAACTAGAGTCATAAGCCTATTAGGAATAAAAGAAAGTATACCTTTACTATTCAGATTATGGTTAGGATTCTCTTTAATTAATTAATATGGTCCACCATGGTCCATGGGCCCTTATCCCTAAAGCCAACCCCTTAGTTCTATAAGGAATAGAATTAGTAAACCCATGCCACTTAGACCATAATTAGGACTCTTAATTATATAAATAGGGACATAGAAGGCACCTAGAACACACACCACAAATAATCCCACACCACAAATAATCCCTCACCACACAAGAAAGTTCCAAGAACTCCCGTAGTAGAAATCAAGAAAGGAGAAATCTTAAAGAAAGACCCTTCATAGCCAAGGAAATTAATTAAGGCTAAGAGGTAACCCATGTCTCAACAAAACCTATTTTCTTCGCTATAATCTCTTTCCTTGGCCTCCCTCTATATTCTTGTGTCTTGATTGATTTCTTCTATGATAATTATGATTGATAAGATGATTTATATGCTTTCTTGGGAATCTTGATGACCTTGATGTTAAAAAGAAGTTCTTGATTATGATATGATGATTCTTGACGAATCTTGATATTTTCTTGATGTTAAGAATAAAATATATTCTTGATGATTTGGGTGGGATTAGAGCCCTAGGTTGGATTGGGAATTTGTATTGAGGATGTTCTTGATTTATATTTGGGTGGGAATTCGCATGTTCGGGTGTTGTTTATATTTAGAAGTCATAATAGGATAAGTCCTACATGATTATTGCTTTTGATCCATTAATTGCTTATGTGATGTCGTTATTTGCGTTTAAAAGTGTCTAAGCATGGTTTCGGGTTCCAAAAAGGATCCCGGGACAAATTTGTGATGAATGAGTCAGTGGAGGGTAGGTGGGGTGGGGGAACCCACCACCTACCCGCTGCCCAAAGAGGCGCTGCGCGGCAGCGGGCAGCCACCAGGCAGCCGGCTACCCGCTGCCCGAAACAGCGCCCACTGATAAGCTTAATTTCTAGGGATTATTTAGAGTAATTTTAGTTGGTGATTTGATTAAATAAATTAAGTTTTAGGGTTAATTATATTATAAATAGTATATTTAGTATATGTTACTAGTTTAGACTAGTTTAGATGAGTTTTAATAAATATTAGGCTAATGTTGCATTTTTATTAATATATAAAGAAGAGTTCTATTTTATCTATTTTATTAAATTTATTTGTTAGTTTTATTCATTCTATTTTGAATAAGTGTTTTAATATTTAAGTTTAATTGAGTTATTATGTCATTAGTTTATAATTATTTTATTTTATATTATTTTGTTTTTGTTTTCTTTTTAGGTTTGGCGCAGCAGTAAGAAAAAGGAAAAAGAAAGGGATTTTATTAATTTTGGGGTTTTTGTTGCTTTGGTTGGTTCGGCAGAGGGGAGACGAAACATAACAAGAAAACGGCGGAGAGAAGAATCAGAGAGCCTGGCTGCGCGGCAGCGACTTCAGCGAGGAATTTCCGAGCTTCAATCGCAACTATCATCTCTTAGGCTTGAATTATTTTTCTTCCTTACTTTATTTCTTGCTTAAAATTTCAGAATGTTATTTATTGAACTTTCCTTACCTTTAATTATGATTATTGGCTAAAACTTTAATTAGGGATTTGGATTAGCCTATATTAGATTGATTGACTATTTTTCATGTGTTGATTCTTCCAATTTCAATTCAATAATTGAACTTGATTATATTTATTTTATGTATTTTAATTGTGGATTGTGTGACTGGCCATTGCATAATTTTAATATTAGGGTTCATAAGAAGAACTGACAGGTGAATTATGAACCTAGAACTCATAAGATAAACACAATTGACCTAAACTAGACATAGCTTTAGGTATTTGTGGTGATATTTGATTGTTGCTTAATGGGTTCAATTAATGTTGGTGAGATATCGACGGATGATCACAGTTAATTGGATATAACCTAGTAGCTCGACGGAGTATTTGGATATAATTGGAACAATCATCACTATAATTACAAGAATTAATATTTAGGAGAGTTAGTTAATTATCTAATAGGTGAACCCCAAATCCCTAGTCTTTTCTCAATTAGAATTTTATTTGCTTTAATTTCATATAAATATTCTTTTTAATTACATTAATTCTATTTATTTGCAATTTTTCCTTATTATCAAATTGATTATTCAAGATAACAGTTAATAGTGTTCTTCGTGGGATCGACCCTGGAATACTCCAGGAATTTATACTGTGATTGACTCTGTGCACTTGCAGATTATAGCAATCACCCACCGGCGGGCAGCCGGCGGGTGACCCCACACACCGGCTACCCGCTGGTCCACACCTCACCCCGGCCCCGGGCCCCCGACTTCCCCGTTTGATGTTCCCCGTACCCCATGGTGTCCCAACGGACCCCGTTTGTCGTGCCTGAGTCTAGTCTGGAATTTCGGGTACCATTCGTAGGTTAAACGAGTCTTAGGAATTGCATGCTAGTTGAATTGGTAACCCGTGGACCTAGGTGGAAGTTATATGAGCCCTTAGAACTATTCTTAGAATGTGAATGATCACATGTAAGCTTAATTATATGTTCCCCCTTCCCTATGTGAACAATGTGTCATTGTGTGCTATTGTGTGTTACGTGATGCATGACCCCAACTTGGTTAAGACCAATTGGGCTATACAGGCAGTTGAATGGGCTGAGAACCATCCCAACTGTTAACTAGGCCGGTTAAGATCGGTCAGGGATATTGATATGATATAGGACTGAGGTCCACTATACAGGGCAGTTAAATGGGTTGAGAACCATCCCAACAGTTAACCAAGCTGGTAGAGACCGGTCAGGTATATAAAGATTATGTATAGGACTGGAGGTCCACATGGGCGTCGGTGATATGACCCACCGACCGGGATGCGCCAGGCGGTATGGGGCCAACAAGCCGAGGAAGGTTGTAGTCCACCGACCTGAGTAATCAGGCGGTGTGTAGGGCTACGACTGGCTGCGATCCACCGAGTGGTGGGACATCGGTATGCAGGACCATAGTCTCCGAGGATCTTTGCCCACCGACTGAGTTTAGCTCAGCGGTGTGTCGGGCTTGATCCGCTACGGCCCGCCGATTGTGCGCACCAACGGTGTGTAGGGTCGTAAGTCCCCCCTTGTAAAGGGGATCACGGTCCACCGACTGGGCGCGTTAGCGGTGTGTCGGATCGTGGTCCGACGTTGAGTTCGTCAGCGGTTCTCCAAGGGGCATGCGATTGGTCCCGTGGCGCCATCGATGATTATGTGATATAAATGATGATTGAATGATGATGTGTTTGAATTGAAAAGTGATATGTGACCTTAGATGCGTATTCCTTATTATGTTATCTCTACTTAACCGTTTATCATTGATTAATGTGCTTGTCCCTATTTGTTGAGTCTATTCCCGGTTTTAAAGGTAGAGTCTCCTAAGCATATATCTTCCTGCTTCAAAATGGTTTTCCTATATCTATATCTATATATATACCTATATTGTATTTCAACGCGTTGGAGTGGGTTACCAGCATCTCTCGCTGAACAGATATATTTGGCTTTCAGGCACAGAGGAGTAGACACTGGAGCGCGCTAGAGATTTGGAGCGTAGAGTAGATAGTTTCCCTTTCGGCCTGCGTGCCATGCTCATGTATTTACATTATTGAGGATTTTAGTTAGTTAGCCTGTGCACCTGAGTTCTCTAGCTCAGGTGTGGCATAGCACACCGTACTCTATTATATTATGTTTTGGAATTTAATGAGAATTTACCTTTATTTTATAAGTCTTAAAAGTTTCAAAATTTCGGGGTGTTACAGTTGGTATCAGAGCCTAAGTTTGACCGTAGGATAAGACTCGTAAGACCAGACTTTAGGACATTAGGCTTGAACTCTAGGTATTTAGAAACATAGGATTTAGGAACCTTAGGACGCGCAGTGAGATTGTGAGCCTACCTATCATCACATAAACTCCCCTCACTTTATCCTTCACTAATTTAAAGAATTTCCCCCTTCGCTTATCACATCAAGGTAAGGGTACAACACATTAACTCTTCATTCCACATACTTACCCTAGAAATTTGTGATGTCCTTGCATGCTTTTACCTACTTTGTTGTTTATCACTCTTTGATTACGATACTTGTTCATTTGCATAAGCATATGTTCCTAATTGATTTTTAGACCAAGTTTGGAACTGCATACTAATGCTTAACTATTTGATCAAACATGCGTTATTTGAATATCTATTACTTGATAAAGTATTTTTTTAGTAATTTTATTCGGCCTATAAGAGCTCACTTGTCCTAATCATAATCGACCAATATAGTTAACTCACTGATAACCCGATAAGTACTTACATGAGTTGCATGGGGGGAAATTCTGGGGAACATAGCTTTAATTAAGAAGGGGAAGAATGAGGCGTAGGATCCTTATGATACCTAGTTGAAGTCTCCCATATTCCTCATTAGTATTATAATAAAGTGATCCCTTGAGTTTTCCATACCCCTTTCGTTGTTCACATAAGTATGGAATTCCTTGAAACTTATAATTGTGCATTCTCGAGGCTTTTTCCGAAGTGATTCCTCCTTCACAGTCACGTTCCAATGGGGCCTTGGCAGGAGGTCGACCACCCACCACGTGCCCACTGCCACATTCCAGTGGGGACTTGACAGGCGGTCGACCGCCCACCTCGCGCCCACTGGTCCGGTATGTTTTCTTTACTTCACATTTTTATTGACCCATTGTGGCTTTGTGTGTCTCCCTTGATACTTCCTATGTGTTTAAACGTATAAATAACAATCTAATGCTTGAACATGAAAATCGAATTATCTTCCTAATTGATTTGTTTATATGTCACATAGAAACTATAGGGACTGA